ATATCAGTTACTTTTCGTGATAATTTATTATTAGATCGTTTAAATTTTTAAAGGTTTAAATTTTTGAGTACCTTCTTTTGAACATGGCCTGACCTTTTCATTTTTATGATTTTTTTAGGATACATTTATACGTTTCAACCAAGAAGACAGAATAGGAGACTGAACTCCACTCCTTAGAATTTCAGTAATGGGAGTGAGTCAAAATATGATCTTATTTTATGAGCGCTGTTCGCAGTATGTCGCCGGCCAATTCATGAACTACGGCGTGCTGGATTTTGAAATTTCGTGCAATATAACCAAGAATATATATAATATACACATATATATTTTTTAAATTTTATCGCTGTTTTAAAAAAGCTTTAAAGCATTTTAAAATGTTAAAAATTTTTTTCGACAATTATTGAATAATAATAAATATTTAAATATTATACAATTTATTATATTTATTATTTTTTTTAATACATTTGATTACTTTTATTTTACTATTTTTTAATATAATTTCAATTATATTAACTTTTTGAAAAATTCCTATCTATCCTTAATCTCTTTGTAAACTGGCAGCTCTGCCAAAGAAACTACCCAGATAGCCACAGTAATTATTATGACATCATTTTGATGTCAAAATGCATCATTTTGATGTCATAATAATTATTGTGGCTATCTGGGTATAGTTTAAAGTTTAAACATCTAGCATCTAGCAGCCGCCATTTTAGATCTTACATGTATGAAACGAAACGTGAAAAGCGAAAAATCCCCATCAATCTACTGACCTCGTAATTTTTGATACATTTCAAAATTATTCATGAAATCTCTTTCCAAATTTGACTTTTTATTGTTATATTTTAAAATTAATGAGTATAAAAAGGCTTGCAAGAGCTGTATAAATGGTAATTACGTTTACTAAGAATCAACGCATATAATAAGAAGTAATAAAATACAAGAAAAAATTAAATAAAACATGGTTAATCGTATATATAAAATTTAACAAATATAATAAAATAAATTAAATAAATATACTCATAGCAGAAAGTTAAAATGAAGTCAGACGGACGTTTTAACTTGATTTTTCAAGTCATTTTTAGCGCAAATTATAAATAATTACAAATAGAATCAACTAAAACATTGTATCAAACTAATAACCTACGGAAGTTATAATATGTTTAAAATATTTTAGAATAAACAAATATTAAATAAGTTAGCAATAGACAGTCAATTGTGTTTAAAGAGAAGTTACAAGTAAAAAACTAATCAAAAAGTAAACGAAAAAATAAACCGCAAGCGTTGTGGGAGTCGTGAAGGTATCTGCTCTGTGCATCATCTCATAAATACTTATTTTACCTCTAATTAACTGATTGAGATGAACTCTGATTATAAAAAACATGATCTTGTGATTTCTGTAAACGATCAAATTTTATAATCTAATTGTAAACGATAACTAACACAATCTTTAAAATATATATGAGATATACTTACATAATTATAATATGATGTCAAACTTGATAGCAAAATTTAAACGCACGTCTTCTTCACGACAATACGATTAGAATACGACTGTAACGTTGGTTCTTAAAAACTGTTATGCAGATTACCTGTTTACTAATTTGTGACTTTGTTTCGGGAGCTTGTTTAAATATGTTACTATATATGTCAGGCAAATTTTCTGTATTACTTTGTAGATTAAGACTGTTGTTTTGTCTCTTAATATGCATCATTTCAGATATAAGGAGTTTACTATAATTTGATTTCCTATCTAATGTTTTTACATCTTCCCATTTAAATTCATGATCGAAATTTAGTCTATGTTTAGTAATGACAGATTTGTTAGTACAATTTTTATTGATATGTTTTTTATGTTCTGAAATCCTTGTGTTAAGTTTTCTACATGTTTGGCCTACGTATGTTCCCAGCAAACACCGATATATAATTGTTACATATCTATAATAAAACGGAATATAACAGATAATATAACGTGCACGTTACATGTAACATCCATGTTAGTTGTAATTTCCCACTCATAGATGTAACATTTTAATATAACATATATTACATTGTAGTTATATTGTAATTATATACCAAATAGCACATTGATGTATTGATAAGTCAGTGCTATCTTGGGATATAATGACAATATAACTACAATGTGATATATGTAATATTAAAAATGTTACATCTATGAGTGGGAAATTACAACTAACATATACGTTACATGTAACATGCTTAAGTATATAACATTTATATACTGTGTTTGCTGGGTTGCGTTGCAGTTATTGCATTCAATTTTATAGACCAAATGAGTGTTGGAACCTTTAGGAATTTTATCTTTATGCGTTTTAATGAACTTATTAAATTTGTTCAAACTTTTGTATGATAATCTAGTATTAGTGTCTTTAATAATATTCTTGAATTTTTTAATAAAATGTGGCAAATATGGAATTGTAAAAAAAGAGTTAATGCTACTACTTTGTGTATTATTGTTGTTAAGATTATTTATATTCCTCGAATGAATCAAATATTTTAATCTGTCATTAATTGTGTCAAAAATGAATTCCAATGGATAGTAGTTGTCCAATAAAATATTGATAATCAACTTAATATTTTTAGTGTGGAAACTGGGATGAGATAAAACAAATACTCTGTCTATCAATCCAATAATTGTTCCTCTTTTTTGACACATGGGATGCTGAGACAAAAAATTCAATTATCTCCCTGAAAAAGTAGTTTGTAATACCAATCAATTATAATCCTATTATTGCAAGAAATTAGAGTAATGTCAAGACAATTGAGTTTATTGTCTTTCTCTGTTTCAATCGTAAATTGTAGTCTAGGATGAAATGAATTAAACACTTCCAACGTGTGGTTAATACAATTGAAAGGACCCGTTAAAATTAAATCGTCCACATATCTGAAGAAAAAAGAAGGAATGTACATAAGGGCACTGTTTTGTTTTCTAGATCTTGAAGAACTAGATCAGCAATTATCGGAGAGAGAAAGAGGAACCCATCGGTGTACTATAAGTTTGTTTGTAAATTAAGTTGTTGAAACTAAAGTAAGTTGAGTTTAAAACCAATTTTATGGCGTTTAAAAATTCAAATTTAGTCAAATTGCAATTGTTAGATAAAAATTGCCATCTTCTTGAAACACTTTCTATAGCCAAATCTAATGGGATATTTGTGAATAATGAGACGACATCTAATGAAATAAGTTTTGAATTTGTGTCCAATTGTGTAAGTGATAACTTTTTAACCAATTCAAAACTATTTTTTATTTGGCTGTTTGCTGGAGGAAAATTTTTGACCATGATATTGTGTAAAAAGTATGCTAAATTATATAGCGGAGTGCAATGTTGATAGAAGAAACGATTAATCTATATGAACAGTTGTTTTTATGGATTTTTGGTAATTTATATGCTCTTGGAAGGTTCTCCTCACTATACGACAAATGCCTATATGTGATATGTGAAATAATACCCTTATTCCTCCATTCTTTTAACAATTCACTAAGACTGGAAATCAGTTTATTGATAGGATCTTTTTTAATGATTGTGTACGTATTATTGTCATTCAACATTTGTTCTATTTTTTTGATATAATCATTTTTATCTATGGCTACAGTAACGTTACCTTTATCTGCTCTTGTAACAATAAGACTAGGATTATTGTTCAGAAATTTTCCAGTTATTGAATTTAGTTGAAGTAAATTGTCATTAAAACTATTGTTAGGAAATTGATATAATGAGATGAAGTTAATTATATGTGTAAACTTATTTCTAATCTCTATTCTTTTTTCCGTCGGCAATTTTTGTTATATTTTATACACCGACCACGCGTTAGTATTTTGTTTATTTATGTAATTTAATTTGTAACATTTATATATGCGCTGAAAATGACCAAAAAATGGAAACGTATGCATATATTGTAATATTAAACCTTATTGTTTAATCAAATACATTAGTATTGTCACATTAATGAATATTATCCACACCTTACCTACCGCGGTGATCATGTATCTTTTATCAAATACTTTTAATTATCAAATTTAATATCAACTATTTATTTTATTTTTAATTAAAATTAAGTAAACAATAATCAAATAAAAGCCATAACAAGGTGTTCGTGTTTATATGTAATACTTTAATATAAAGAATTTAAAATACAGACGTTTCGATGTGATTTCAGATCATCTTCAATGTAATAACCTAATAAAGATGATCTGAAATCACATCGAAACGTCTGTACTTTAAATTCTTTATATTAAAGTATTACATATAAACACGAACATCTTGTTACAGCTTTCTTTGCTACTTTTTATTTGATTATTATTGTACGAGCCTTATTTCATCATTATTTTAAGTAAATAAATTTTTACAAACAGCAATGATATTCTATTTAAAAAATCCGCCAAATATATACAAAATACTCCAATTTGTACGCAATAAAAAGTTCAAAAAAATATTTATGTCAAAAAAAATTTATTTTAAAAAGAATTTTTTAAAAAGGTAATTTTTTTATTAAAAACAATTTAATTTTTCTTTAAAACATAGATTTTTCCTAATGACAATACAAAATAAAATTTATTTTGAAAGTCAGATTTTTCTTAATAAAAATAAAATACGTTTATATACGTTTATACGTTTTTATTTTTATATTTCTATAAGATTAAGTTTATGGTAAATACTATTTCAAATTACAAACCCTCACAAAGTAAATTGCTTTTAATTGTAATTATTTGGCTAGTTGACTATTGATTTTATATTTTAGAAATTGTTTTTAAAGTGTACATTATATGTTTAGGATACATTATTTTGGCGGAAATCATCTTAAAATTAAGTTTACAATACATAGTTTACATAAAAAAATAAATTTTTAGAAATATAAAAAACTTTTTTTATAAATTTTTAAATTATGTATCAATATCAAGAAATCAATAATTACATTTTTAATTATTATAACCGTTAAATAATGACGTTTGAAAGCAATAAGGAAAAATAAATATATGATATATATTTTTAATTTATATATTGTAAACAAATTGAACAACATAACATAACATTAAGAAATATAGTGTCAATTAAAATTAAGTACAGTTGACACAATATAGATAAGTAAGAAGGTAAACTTCAATCAATTCAAGATCGCTTTTTTGGAGACTATTGTTGTTTGTTTGAAATAAGCATAATATTAGAAGATTATCCGATATTTTTGGAATAATATTTTATGATTCGGGATTACAAGAGTAGTAATAAGATAATACTTCATTAATATACAGATATTCTAATTTTTGCTGTGTTAAACTTGTAATTATGAAAATTTCAAGAAATTTTCAATAGCGATATTTTATATAGTATAAATAGTTTTAGGAAAAGAGACAATTCTCGTGGAAATGTCTTTTTATATTTTTGATACTTGTAGTTATCTTTTAAGCGCTGACTTCACTAGCCGCACATTTATCGTACATTGCATCAAGGACTTGGGTAAATTTGAGATGACGTTCTTCGGGAGCAACAGTAGCACCACGACTGCCCCATAAAAATTTAATATGAAATTCGGTTCGAAAGGCATCCGACAATAGCTCATCGCTTCTGCAACCTTCCAAGGCAATTTCTGCATTTCTGCGAAAAAGTGGCAGATTTTCGGCTAGCTTGCGAGCCGCTTCGAGATGCGACCAGACGATCGACAGACCGCAATCGGATGCCGAATTTTCCCACGATGAAAGAATCGCTGCCGCGAGTCCGGAAGGCGCCACGGTGCCTGCAAATAAGCAAAAGTAATTATTGAAACATGGCAAGAAAAAAGATAATAAAGTAGACAACAAAAGGATGGATAAAAAGAAAAATTAGTATTAAAATAGATATTACAATATATAAAATACACATATGTATACTAAATTTTCGTGATTCGTTAATTATTCAATTGGTTTTCTTTCCTCGAGATTTGTCTAATAAAAACAATTTTACATTTTATAAATACCTAAAACATCTTCGGGACTGCGTTCACCAAGTAACGCGATTGGTAGCAAATGCGGCAATGTTGTATTAGGCGCCTGCGGATTAGTACATTCATTCATGGCCCGCAAAGTAGGTCTTAGCTTTGCTTCAAAACTAAAAGCTTCGTCTGTATGTTTTTGTCTTAGCAGATGCCATGTATTAGCCAGCCTTTGAATTTGCGGTAAGCATAAACCGAGCATTACACCACAAAAACCGTACAGATTGCCGAGCGCAGTTTTGGTATCAATTGCCACTTTTATCCATTTGCTAATAGTAGCCGCTCTTTCTGCAATATTAACAATTATTATTTCTTAAAATTTAATGCAGAAGAGATTGAATGCTCTAATATTTCACATAATTTATTTTGTTATATAGGTTCTACATTACATATATATATATATATATATATATATATATATATATATATAATATATCTCTCTCTACAATTTAAATATAAAATATGATAAAATTGAGAATAGCGCTTACTTTGAAAAACAAAAATATGGTGTTTTTGAAAAAAAAAAACTTTTATCTTTATAGCGGATTATTCTGAAATTTTTATGACCAATTTCATCAACGTCAATTAACTTTAACCTCTAGTTAAACCATATATTTGTCTCTTTTTAAGAACGTCTCTGTTTAAGTTAATCAATGTTGGTGAAATTGGCTGGGCACTTTATTATTATATATTTAAATATATAATTTTTTTTAGTAAAAAATATGAAAAACTGTAGAAGTTGTCCTCAACGAATCTTCTTTTATAATCTTGCCACTGAGACTGTAAATTGGTAAGACTTTTTATATTGTTACGTCTCTCTTGTTTGAAATTAAAAAATCAAAAGTTTTCTTATTATTTATGAAATTACATAGTCGATAGACCAAAGAGATAAAAAATAGAAGATTGACAAAATAATAAAGCTTAGAAGACAATAGTACAATTTTCAGATATATGTTTTACTTATTTATGCAAAATACTGTTTCATTATTGTTTTTAGAAGTTCATCAACAATGTAATTTTATAAATAATAAGAAAGTTTTTGATTTTTTAATTTCAGACAAGATTTGGAGGTATGAGAAGTCTCGCCAATTTACAATCTCTCGGCGGAAGATTCCTCAAAGCAATCTTTACATTCTATATTTTTAACTAAAAAATTTTTTTTATACTTTTAAATACTTAATAATAAATGCTTAAAAGTTTTAAAATAATCTGCTTTAAAATAAAAAAAAAATAAATTTTAAATATATTTTATTAAAAAATTTTTTAAAGTAGGCGTCATCTTTAAATAGAAATAGTTGCGATATTTCAAGACTTTTACCTATAGCCGTAGCTCCAGCCAGCACCGTAACTGCCACCAGCAATTTCAAACATTCCGATCTTTCAATCAAATCCATCCTAGCTTGTCTACCATGAGGAAGAGTTGCCAACTCGATACCGCTTAATCCGATTCTATTTCCAGATCCTGGTTCAAGCGCCACTTCAAGATCAATTTTTGTAAGGTGGGAAGCGAGTACTCTTGGTGCTGAATCTAATAACATTCCTGATACTCCCCTCAAGGCTATCGGATCCAGAGGTCTGTGTTCACCAGCCGGTAGGAGCAATGTGGTAAAGCCCTCGATATCGAGCATTGTGGTAATTTCTAGAGACGGCGCGGCTATCACCAATTGCTCCTCCGCAGATAACTCATACTCGCTACCATTGTTGCCATTAATGCCATCATTACTAGTATTATAATGACTACGTATCACTACACCTTTAATTGGCACTGAGACGGAAGGATTGTTGGCACCACCGGAGTTGTTGGTCTCAAACTCACTATCTCCCGATCCGTTTCCGCTGTCGCTGCCAGAAGCTTGGTAGCTTTGATGATGATGGTGATGGTGGTGGTGATAATGATGATGATGATAATGTTGATGGCTTGGTACATAGGGCACTCTTGGAGGTTTGGGTGGCGCCGTACTCACATTATTCTGCAGATTTAAACTCGATAATTGTTGCTGCTGCTGTTGCAATGCTGGATCAGAGATCACTCGGATAATCTTCTGCCGACCCAAGGATAGGGAACATGAAGGCGGCTGACTCTGAATCGGCGGTATTCGTGGTAAAGTACTAGACTGAACAGGTAACTGCGGACTTGTTTGTTGATTATCCTCACGAACATGCTGATCAGAATTATGATGCTGAGCAGTGAGAGAATGGCTGCGTTGCTGTTTTTTGGGCAAACGAGGCGGCGAACCAGTAGTCAAAGATAAAGAAGCACTAGAGTGCTGATTGTTTGTGTTTCCCGCAATGCACGTTAATGGAACCGATCTGGGCCTTGGATTAATGATACGAGCCCCACTGGCCTGGCTGATTGGCCGACCACTACCGACGTAGAAAGTTATCAAATCGGCAACTGTATCAAAGGCCTCATCTTCAAACTGATATTGCGCCCTCTCGTAAACCGTATCAGGCTGAATCACAACCTATCCAGGAAATAAAGATTTACATTTTTATAAGGTAATGTGAACTTTAAGTGTTACTTTTAAGTAATTTTTTTCATTCTATTGACAAATAACTAAACTATAATATATATTTATTCTATATAAATATTTTTTTTGCAATGCCTGTAAAAGTTCGATTTTTGATTGCTGTTTAGCGTGCAGAAAATGGCTTATTTTCAATGATTCAATGTATGATTTATCACACTAGTGCAAAAAAGCACCTTTATGATTTACCGCACTAGTGCGTAAAAACCTTCTTTCTTAATGATTAATTGGTTGATAACTTTTGTTTTATCATTTCTTGATTGACATAACAAACTTAAGCGTAAAGAAATTCACGCGAGATAAAACGCCAATTTGTTATAACCTTCATTATTCAAGAAGGATAAAATGGATAAAAGAAACGAGCGAGTGTTCATAAGACCGTCCACGCCGCTAATGCACCGCAATCAAATAATAAAGATTTTAGGGTGATTAATCAAAATTCTGAACCATTTGAACCATCTTTGCAAGCATTAGTTACAAAAAACATTACGTTTTATATCAATAATTGTTCACACACACACACACACAAATCTCACATTTCATTTTAACGATAAATAAATATAACAGTATATAATACTATTTCTTATTTGAATTTAATTTCAATTAATTCTTTAATCTCAAATCAAATTTTCGTGATAAGCATTACAAAAAATATTGTATGTGGCATGTGCGGAGGACAACAAATACATCGCGTGTGAAGTTGCCGCATTCGCTTCAGCTTATGATGCATTCATACTCGTACTCGTGTGATTACATCATAAACCTTCGGCTCATGCGGCAATTTCACATGCGGCAACGTCACGTTCACGCATAATTTAGAAGTCAATTCAAGGTCAACTTATTGTTTTTAAATAGAACCCTCTATTTTTTATTACATATTCTTGTAGTTTATCTCGAAAGCTTTTCAAAACACTATAATAAAATTATTTTTTATGGAGTACTCTTTGAGTTATACAGGTTTAAAACTAATAATTTTTTTACATAAAATGTAAAATATCTTATAAAATATTCCATTTTCGGTAATCTTATCTTAATACTTTTCTGCACAGTATAATAAGATTAATCAATTAGTATAAAAAAACAGATAATTGTTTAAAAAAAGACATATAATATATCATATGCAGTTGCATACTTTTTTTATAAGCAACTTTGTGTTCTTTTTTACATTAATTCATTGGTCTCATTATTCCGTGCAAAAAAGTATTAAGGTATAATTACCGAAAATGGAATATTTTGCAAGATATTTTACATTTTATGTCAAAAAATTGTTAGCTTCAAACCTTTATAACTCAAAGAGTACTCCATGAAAAAATACTTTGTTATAGGATTTTGGAAAGCTCTCGAGATAAACTACAAGAATATGTAATAAAAAATAGGAGATTCCATTTAAAAAAATTAAGTTGACCTTAAAATGACCTCTAAATTTGACCCCTAGGTCAAAATCGAGGTCACCAATGCCTTATTTTGAGCCCTACAAGTTTAAGTTAAAACATTTTTTTCTATCATGATTGGTTTTCAAAATATTCAAGGGTCCCGGAATTTGTTGGAACATCCTGTATATATCAAATAAAAAAATGTATCAAAAAACTTTCGTTGCGAATAAGTGTATTAAATTATTATTATTTTGATGGAACTTTTTATAGATGTACTTGAAAAGGGCTGCAATGACAGCCGAAACGTTGTATTTCAAATAATTATTCATAATAAATTATCGCCAGTCTGGTCGACTTTAAACGTTGAGGAGTGGTTTTTTAAAAAACTTTCAGTATTATTTCTTCTAATTTAATTAATAAATCGTATTTACCCTATTAATGACGAAATGAAGTGGTTGGCCTTTCCAACGCACAGTGAGAACGTAGTTGCCAGGTTGAGAGGCGCAATCACGTACCAAAAAATCTCCATCATTTGGTACTTCCACCTCTGCACCTTTTCGACCGCCGCGCAACGTACTGCCATGATACCATGCATGCGATCGTAGATCTCGCGGATCGAGAAGCCGCAATTCTCTTTCTAAGAGCTTGCGAATAGATTCTTCAGGTGCCTCCTACAATGAAACAAAATAGTATATTAGCTAACAAGTCCGCACTCTCGGCCGATTTACGACCCGCACATGTTGGCTACGATATTTTGTGTGACCGGTGCGTGGAAAGAGAGCTCTTTCTAAAATCCCATCATGTGCGGAAAGGGCGACTTTTTGCGCGCCAATTGCACAAAGAAATTTTTTGACGTGTTTCTTATGTCTCAATTTAGTAACTTACTTTAGGCATGTAAATGCTTTAAACGCTTCAAAACATTTATAGCATCAATTAAACTGCATTCTTTTTAATTAAATCAAAATACGCATTTGTTTATATATTTCCAGAAAAAATATATATATATATAAGATATAATCAAATATAAATATATACATAAGTGTACATGGTGTCCTAATGTATCTCAAAAGTAATGAGAACAATTTTTTACGTTCCTCAAGAAAGCTGCGTAAAAAAAGTGGGGGTTGAGGTAATTCAAGAGAGATCTCAGGTATATAATCAAACTCTTCTCTGTTGAGCCCGAGCCTTTTAGATGGTCTGGATTACAGAAGTGTACCCTTGTTTTTTACTCGTCACGGACGAAAATTCGGAGGAGCGTTACAATTAAATTATGTATAAAATTTGGAAAAACAGCTTCAAAAAGAGATGTTGGAGATAGCGTATGGAAGAGCTGCTTTATTCTTAGCCCAAGTTTTCAATTTTCAATCATCTTTGAAGACCTTGTATCATCTGAAAACTTAAGCTAACGACAAAGCAGATTCTCTATACACACTGCCTTCAACATCGCTAATGTTTTTAAAGCTTTTCAAAGTTTAACACAAAATTTAATTGTGTGACGCTGCTCGATGCTTCTCTGCATCTTCGAGAGTAAAACACATGTGGATACACTTCTGTAACGTATCGATCATTCGAAAAACTCGGGCTCAACTAAAGAAAATCCGACTGTATACCTGAGTGAGATCCCCTCAATTACTTCGATCCCCACTTTTCTCACGCAACTCTCCTGAGGAGCGCAAAAAATTATTTTCATAGATTTTGGGACATACTACTTATATATGTTAAAAAATCAGACCAAAAAGTGTTGAATAAAAAGAAGACTCCAAAATATAAATTTTTGGTTAATATTATTTTTCTCTCCATAATATTTAGTTTTATACATGATATAAGATATGAGTTTGACTTAAACAATAAACAAACATATAATAACACATTGTATTTTAATTTTGAACAAAATTTTAAACAAATATATAAAATAAATCACTTTTTACACAGTAAATGCTCTAAAATGCCTCAATTAACTTTAATACAACTCATATATCATTTAATATACGAGGTGTGTTCAAAAAGTATCGCGAATTTTGAATTTCCGCGGGTTACGTATATTCGATTTTCGATTTTTTTGTGGCGTTATGTTGGTACTCATGTTTCTCATTTATGCCGACAAGTACGGCCATTTTGAATGTTCAGTTAATTTTTGACAGCTGCTTTGCTTGCACGTGTTTTGGCTCGTCTTCGATTTTTGCCTATTCCAAAAAATGGATCAAAGAATCTGTATCAAATTTTGTGTGAAAAACAAAATTAAGTGCGCGGACGCATTCCGAATGTTGACTGTGGCATATGGTGAAGCTACCTTGGACCGAAGCAACGTTTATCGGTGGTACAAAATGTTTTCCGAGGGCCGAGAAGATGTGAACGACGAAGAGCGTGCCGGACGCCCGAGCACGTCAACAACAGACGAAAATATTGATGAAGTGAAGAAAATAGTATTGGTCAATCGTCGAATCACCGTTAGAGAAGTTGCTGAGGACCTAAACATATCGATTGGCTCGTGCCATTCGATTTTTACCAATGATTTGGGCATGACACGGGTCGCCGCGAAATTCGTACCAAATTGCTCAATTTCGACCAAAAACAGCATCGAATTTTTGGCCAAAAACAACACACTAATAATGCCGCAGCCACCGTATTCCCCAGATCTGGCCTCCTGTGACTTTTTCTTGTTCCCGAAACTGAAGAGGCCCATGAAAGGACGACGCTACGCTACGATTGAGGAGATAAAGACGGCATCGAAGGAGGAGCTGAACAAGATCACAAAAAATGATTTTTTGAAGTGCTTCGAGGATTGGAAAAAACGTTGGCACAAGTGTATAATATCTGGTGGGGATTACTTTGAAGGGGACAAAATAGATATTCATGAATAAATAAATAATTTTTGAAAAAACACAAAATTCGCGATACTTTTTGAACACACCTCGTAGTATTAAAATTAAACATTATAGAGAAAATTAAAGTTAATAAAAAGTATTTATTTTGAAGTCTTCGTTTTTCAAAATTTGTCGATTTAATTTTTTAATACTTTGTATAATTATACGTGGCATATGATATAAAAATTAAAATTAATTTACTTTGCTTCCAAATCTCGTATGTATGGCTGTATGTGCCTAAATGTATGTGTATATGTCTAAATTATACTTTTAGAAAGATGAATAGAATATAGTGGATCAATCATTTAAACTTCTTTTTTTATTTTAAATTCTCTGGACTATTTTATAAGAATATATTTGTATTTTAAAAACTTTTATTGTATTTAATATTATCAATAAATAATATATAAGTTAAAAAGCTGTAGCAAGTAGATAAGATCTATGTACGTGTTATATGATACACGTAAAGACAAGAATTTGTCAAAAAAATCAACAATATATGAAACAATAATATGAGGTAAAATGTGTAAAAATAAAAAAAATACTTTAAACATTTTTCGTAAATATTAAAGTAAAAATATGATAAATATATTTCATTTTTTTGTAATATATACAGGGTAGGCCATTTTAATCTTTCCACTAAAATTTCTCAAAATCCAAAAGTTTAAGACAAAAATGTTTCAGATAAAAGTTGTATGGTTTCAAGGGGGACATGAGATGGTGTCATTGATTTGACCTTGAATAGTCATTTGAAGGTTACGTGAAGGTCAACTTCAATTTCTTAAATGGAACACTATATTTTTTCTTGCATATTTTTGTAGCTGACTTCGAGATCTTTCCAAAACACTACAATAAAATATTTTTTTATGAAGTATTTTTGAGTTATTAAGGCTGCAAATTTGCAGTATTTTGACATAAAATACAAAATATCTTGGGAAATATTCATTTTTCGATTATCATACCTTAATACTTTTATGCACAAAATAATGAGATGAATCAATTGATGTAAAGAAAACACATAGTTACCTTTAAAAAAAAATATGAAAATTGCAATAAGCAGTTAGATAATTTTTCTTCAAGACAACTATGTGTTTTCTTTACACCAATTGATTCATCTCATTATTCTGTGCATAAAAGTATTAAGGTATGATAATCGAAAAATGAATATTTCCCAAGATATTTTGTATTTTATGTCAAAATACTGCAAATTTGCAGCCTTAATAACTCGAAAAATACTTCATGAAAAAATATTTTATTGTAGTGTTTTGGAAAGATCTCGAAGTCAGCTACAAAAGTATGCAAGAAAAAATATAGTGTTCCATTTAAGAAATTGAAGTTGACCTTCACGTAACTTTCAAATGGCTATTCAAGGTCAAATCAATGACACCATCTCATGTCCCCCTTGAAACCATACAACTTTTATCTGAAACATTTTTGTCTTAAACTTTTGGATTTTGAGAAATTTTAGTGGAAAGATTAAAATGGCCTACCCTGTATAAGTTATTTTTATTATCATAACCATAAATTATTTCCATCTTTAACAAAATCAACTTTCTAAAAATTAATTAAGCTAATTAAATACTTTAAATTTCATTTAGTAACAGCTATATATAAATTTCAAATTTTTTCAACCTTTATTTTATTATATAGATGAGTTATTATTATCTTGTATTTAATAAATTATAATAATATCATGCCGGCATCTCTCTTTTCATATTCTTAATTAATTACTCGGAATGATAGAAAAAAATAATAAGTCTATTGCACGTTCTGCGTAAGACAATTGTAACAATCAAGGCAGGAAGGAGACGAGACTTTGCAGTCAAGCGAAGATTGGCTTAACAAAAGCAGCCTTCAGCTCTTCGTCACATGATCGTGGATAGTTTTGTTACTCGCGTCATCAATATATCGTATCAACTAGCTCAGTTATCGCAGAACCCATCATTACTTGGACTTGAGTATATTTTATATCACGCTACAAAAAAATTAGACATTTATACAGAAAAATTAGTTGGAAGAGCAGTCGCCCGGCAAGCGGAAGGTCTCGAGTTCGAGTCCCGATTCAGCCGACTTTCGGACCAATATTTTTCTCGCCTATTTCTTTACAGGGGATGTTAAGAGAAGGAACAGGGGGAATTTTTGAGATCCCAACCATAGGATTCAAATTCCTTTCCAAAATGTTCTTTCCTTCATAATTGTCGCAATAACATCGCGTTTGGCTCTATTGGTCGAGAGGAATCAAGTGGAGATTGTGGCTTTAAAAAAATTAGAGTTGTCACTTTAATAATTGAGATCTATGATTTTAAGTTTACACAAAAATATATAAAAAACTTTCTATTATATGTATATATATGTACGTGTGTGTGTGTGTAGAGAGAGAGAGAGAGAGAGAGAGAAAGAGAGAGAGAGAGAGAGAAGAGAGAGAGAGAGAGAGTTTTTATCTTGTAAATAATATTAAGAGTTAAAAATTTATTTAAAACATACATAACATTTGAAAAAAATTGAAACATTGACGAGTAATAATATCGATAATTTAAAAGTACTCAAAAATTTTTAAAACATTTATAAGTAAAAATTGTAACATCCTATATGTGAGCAAGGTTAATTAATCAAATTATATATAATTTAATAAATTAATCTCTACATACTACATATATCAAGATCAATCTTGCTAAATAAATTAATTTAATTAAATCAATTTTTTTAATTTAATTCTTTGATATACTGTTGACGATCTTCGCTGTGACACGTTGATTACTGCCTCTCGCTTTTAATTTTTTATTTTTGTCATGAAGTGTTATAATATTTAATTCGACAAAAATGTGAATTTTGTTTACATTAGATTTTATTTGTTTTACTTGAGAAAAGCCACCACCAACAATCACATGGTCGAAACGTCGTGAAGATTAAATTGAATTCTTGCTAGTTTGGTCGATTATTTAATTATTTTTAATTCTTTGAATTAATTCAATATTATTTTTTTAATAATAATTAAAATTTATAATATATAAAAAATAAAATTGTATGCACGATCGAGTACTCACCATCGGCAGAGATAAATTGTTGTTACTCTCGGGTGCCTTCGTCAAGGGTGATTCACTTTGGAAACATATATCGCGCTTCTCCTTCGCGTCGCTGCCTTTCTCCGGTGTTCTGTGATCAGAACGAAATCTTTAACCCCTTACATTTCGTAGCCGTATAATTTATAGTCGCCTTCTGGCGAGGTTCTTGCTCTCGTGAATTGAGAATTTCTTCTAAAAGGTAAACTTTATGCGGTGCTTCGAACGAGCAGATAGAATGAATTTGTCTCTACTCTCGATTCTCAGAGCACGCGCACGCACCCTACTGACCAGCGCGAGCTTACACAACTCGCAGGTCTGTATTTTCGCAAGGTATCGCAAGGGTACCACCGAATGATATTAATAGATTATATGGAAAACACGTAAAGAAAAATGAAATGGAATAAAAAAAGATAAACTGCATGTCAAAGAAAATATTTTCTTCTCTGCCCGCGTTTGTCGACATTTGTCGCGCATATAAATTCGAAAATTCGGCAAAGTTTGTCTTGCGCAGCACATTGCAAAAACAAGGAGTACATCGTCATGGATAATAAGTAGTAAAATATAATAAAATCATTGTTAATAAATAATAGAAGTAATTCGCAGCTTGTCTATTAAATTGTCACATTGTGTTTATAATATAAGTATTTCAAATTATATTTGCAAATAAATAGCTTATGCTCCATTTAATGCATATTATTAATAATATAATTTTGCATTATATTTAATTCATATATAAAAATAAATATATAGTTAAAATGCGTACACTGCATCATTTACGCGACAATAATTATCATCATTTCGACGCCTCTTTGAACCCTTGATTATACGCCACTGCGATGTTATCACCCTCGTTGTTTTCACCCGCTCTGGTTCTATTTGCTCCTTTCCTCCTTTTCTATCAACATTACTCGATAATGGATATCAAAATACATGCATACAAGATGCTTCTTGTGTTCTGTCTCGTATCAAAACGCAAAATTGAATATAAAATGTATTAGTCTCTTTTAACGCTTTTAAATGAGTTATTCCGTCAATATAGGGGTTATTGATCTTTTTGGATAAGGAGTTGTGAAAAGGAAGAGCAGAGGGGATGCGGCCAAAGTGCGCTTGCGTCATCCCAAAACGTTCGATACGTAACATCAAGGTACGATTTTGGTCAATGTTACACTTGCTTGCATAATAAAAATAATTTTAAAGAGGGAAAGAAAGAGTGGGGGGAGGGGGGGGAAGGGAAGGAGAAAGAGAGAAAATAATTTTTATCAATTTTATTTATTTAAAAGTTTAGCCATTTAATTTATTTAAAACTTTAGAAATTTTATTTATTTAAAATTTTAGCAATGTTATTTCTTTAAAATTTGTATTTCTATTGTAATTAAATATGTTCTCCTCCCTCCTCTCTCTTTCCCCCTCTTCCTTTCTTCCTATGATAATTACATATTACATAAAGAAAAGAAGAGAGAGAGAAAAGATGAAGAAAACTATAATGTAAATTTGCATATATTATTATACATATGTATATTGCAATCTAATAATATGATAAATAGAAATGAGATTTATGTGTGTAAATAAAATAAAAATAAATTATTAGCTCTCACACAATATTAATTATTTTTTGAGATATGCAAATAAAGATGTATGATAAAAAAGTCCACGTGCAATTAAAATAGTGAAGAAAAACCTTATTCATGGTCGCAAAATAATAGTTCGAAGAAGAGAAATTGCGTATTTTTCTGTCATAATAAAACTATAATAGCTATGTTATTGTATAATGTCATTTTTATATAGAATCTTATTCATAGATATAAATCTTTCATACATATAAATCTTTTTAAAGAATTACTGTACTGTTTAGATTTTACTATTAAATTGATTATACTATATATGCATTTACTTTATCTTAAAACTTTATTTCAAATACTATCAAGCAATACACATATATTTGACAAATATTGTTTCACATTTTCATGTTAAAATTGAATATATTCTTATATACTATTAAAAAAAAATAGAGAACACTTCTCATATCTTAAAAATAATGCTATCTTCAAACCGCTGAAATTCGGTGAAAAATCATCTAAACATAAAGAAGCATTTTGAAACTGGATGTTTCAATTTTAACGCGGAATCAATGGTTTTTAGTTGTTTATCTTTCCGGCCTATGATTTAAAAAAGAACATTTTGTTTTTTAAAATTGTTCCTTATTTTGTTCCTTAAAATTACGTATTCGACACTCTGCAACTTAATAAAAAATTTTTCTCCAAAAATTCTATTTTAAATTTCATAAACTTCTATACATTTTGCTTACAAAATACTTTTTTAAAATTCTTCTATCGTTTTTTTTATCGAGTTACACGATTTTAATAGTAGTTTAATGATAGTTAAGTATGTATTTTTCAGAACAAGAAAAATAAAAAATTTGTTAAATCACCAACAGTACGTTATTTTAAAACATCAAATTCAAAATACTTTTTTAATTTTTGCCTACAATGATTTTTCGCCGAGTATAGACATAATTTCTAAAAAATACAGATTAATTTCAATATCTGTAATTTAGTAAAAAGAAATTATAAAAATACTTAAAAAATAACATTTTGTAGGTAAAACATTGTAATTTATAAAACATCAGTAGAATTTTTCGAGATAAATTTTTTATTGAGCCGCAGACAGTGCCGATTTTACCATATAGGCAATTGTTTAGGGGCGCCAGATGAGAAGGCCCAAAATGATTTGGTTACTTCTCTTTCATTTGAAAATATAATTAAAAATTTTGCCGCTTTAAAATCGCGCAAATACTATTTTTAACTGTTTTACTTTTTGTTTTGTTGTAATATTTTTCTTATATATATATAAACGTACCAAAGAAACGTACAAAAAAATGAATATTTTGTTTATTTGAATTTATATTTTTAATTTTTTTCATATTTTATTCTTAGTTTTGTTTACGAAGTAAAAATTTTAAAAATTTTACATGATTTTTATCTTATTTGATACCTTCTTATCTTAAATTAAAAAATGCAGGAAGCAAACCAAAGTTTGCCTATAGGGGCGAACTGATTCTAAAACCGGCACTGGCCATATACGACGAGAGTATCATAAATACGTAATTTTAAGGAACATAACAATATATTTTAGCATAGAATAAGGAAATTAAAAAATATTGAAAAAGCCGAAAGCGCATTAAGGCTGAAACTGAAAGCTTTAAAATGCTTTTTTAATTTTTTGACTGCAACAATTTTTCGCCGAATATCGACATCGTATTTAGAAAATATAAGTTTACTTTCAAAACCGTGTAAAACTCACAAAAAAGTTGTAAAAACATTTTTTTAATTTTTTCGATTTTAGTAGGCAAAATGTTGTAATTGAAAAAACCTGAGAATTTTTTAAAAGAAATTTTTTTTTAGTTGCCAAAGATACGTAATTTTGAAAAACAATACAATGTGATCTTTTTTAAAGCACAAAACAAAAGATAAAAATTTTTTTTTAAACTACAGATTCTGCATTAAAGTTGAAACTTCAAGGTTTAAAATGCTTTTTTAATTTTTAGTCTACAATAATTTTTCGCCAAGTTTCAACAATTTAAAAATAGTTTATATAATTTTTAGGGTATGTGTAAAAGTGTTCCCTATATTTTTTAATAGTATATGGAAATAAATCATAAGAAAATTTTCCAAAATTGACAGATAAGTTTTTTTGATTCATTAAGCATTGTAATGTTTGAAGTTAGAATAGCATAACTTTTCTCTTGAAAATGAATAAACGATACCGAAATCACAACTCATTCTTTAATGACAGGTGACCGCTAATAGTTTTCCGGCTATAGTTTTCAGTTTTAATAAAATTCCCGCATTTGTAGACCGTCGTATGCAAGGCAAATACATCTCATATTTGAAAAGCAAAGATCTAGAAAAACCGGCTTGAAAGAACCGTCAATTCTATTATATTCTCGTACTATTATATTTCGATATCGTATTTTCGAAGAAAAAATAATTCATAAGTTGTAACTTTAAATTTTTTATTTTAGCAACAAGCCATTAAATATTTTTATTAACATTCATTTATTGACGTTTTACATGCTTTACATTCTGTAACTTTTATCCCTTATTTGATATATCATATGTTAATATTTTGAACCCATGAATCCAAAAAGATAAAAAATTGATAAAATTTAACAAATTTATATAATCGAGAATTGTATATAAAATTAGGCATTTTTCAATATATTTTAAATATATTGTCGACACAACATATAAATATTGTGTAATAAAAAAAAACAAACTTCTTTACAGTTACTATTCATCTTTCAGCACAAAAAATTGAAGGTACATATCTTTACTTTAAGAAATAATTTTTTTTCAAAAATTGATTTTACCATTATTTGTTTCTGTTCAAAAAACAACTTTTGTATGAAAAATTTTTTTTTCTTTTTTGTAAAATTGAAAAGAAAGAAAATCATGGTAGATGATTATTTAAAATGGTTAAAATACCCTGTATATTATGTAAAATGTTACTAAAACGTTAAATTCACTATATCTACTATTTCCAATACATAAATGTCATATAATTGTTCTAATAATAATCGATAATAATTCTTGATTTTCATAACTTTCTCTCGACCTGGTGGACAAATAATTATTTTCTGCTTTTGAAAGATTCCAAAAACAGTTTCCAATGATTATTTTAGGTTCCGCAAATAGACCAAAAGTGGCTTATTTTTAACATCCTCCTTCGAAAATAGTATTTTTAAAAGTTTCCAGATTTTCAAAATTTTTATATTTTGTTCACAACTTTGATACTCTGTATTTTGAAAATAAAGCAGTTTACAGCATATGTTTATAGGAATTTTTTTCTTAAAATAAGCCAAAGAATATTCTCTTCACTTTTTTGTACTTACTTAGAAAACATTTTGTATATGTATACATACACATAAAGCGTACGCGCACGGAAGAAAAAAGGAGAGAAAGAGTTCTAATTATATAGCTGTGCAATATATATTTTTTGCGACAAAATCTTTAAATTTTTTGAAAATTTTCTAGTTCTCGAACTATTGTAACTCGTTATACTATGTAATGCATTTCTTTCGATATCTCTGTTGTCATATATATTTTAGAACATTAAATTATATTATGTATTCTTAAATTATATTATGTATATCTCTGTTGTCATATATATTTTAGAACAGTAAATTATATTATGTATTGTATTATGATAATTTATACATACCTTGAACTATTCCTGGAAAGATTGTTAGATGACGGCAGCGCCACGATTAAACTTGGTTCCTTCTGAATGCTTATTTCCGATTGCAGATGTATCGTGTGTCTCTTTTGCCGAACATCTTTACACGAATTCAATGAGGCAAGACCGTTTCGTTTACGTCGTCGACCGCTGGTGCCTAGATTCTGCAGTGTATTCATAGATGGGAATCGAAAGCTCCATGCTATACCTGAATATGTCGCAAAAAAATTTACCTGTGAAACTTATTGCATCTTTAATCGCGAATTATAATAAATTAATATATGCATGCAACACAAAAACGCGGACATATAAAAATATGTAATAAAATTTAAAACTGCAAAATTTATTACTCAATAATAATAAATAACTCTTAATTTGATATTAATGGCACTGATAATTATACGCTTGATAATAATTAGTACATGAAACAGAAACAATTTTTACATAAATTCAGAACGAGGTGCATATTTTATTGTGTAATACATCTATTTATTGAAGATTTTGCTTATTTATTAATATCATTTTCCTATTTTTTATTTTGCGACTTGTAATATTCTGATTTTTAATCATTATACGGCTTTACAATCAAAAGGTATGGTAATATCTTGCCTCACACACAGTGATATAGCGAGGCACCCCGTGTATTTATACGGAAATCGGACAGAGTTGAGAGTATCACAAATTTCAGATACGCAATAACGGTTGATAGAGTTCTTATTACGCTCAATCGATAGATTGAGTTCGAATTATATAAGAAAAGTGACCATATATTTATTCTATGTGGTTTAGGGTCGATTTTTTCAATTTTTTGTAAATTTTACCCGACAGAGGTAGCATATTTTTGTCTCTTTTCAAATAAGTTCTAAAAAAAGAGACGAAGAAGTGCTACCTGTCGGGTAAAACTTACCAAGAAATGAAACAACCAGCTTTTATAAGCAGAAAAATATAATTCAAAGTCTGAATGTGAAAAATTTCTTTTAAGAAACGTCCACGCACAAATTTTTTTAATTAAAAAGCTTGGCGCTACTAAATTAAACAATGCTAAAATTAATTTTGTTTAGCAGTTCCAAGTCTTTTAATTAAAAATTTTTATTAATTTTTAATTTTTCTATTAATTTTAATTTTACTTTTGTGTGTTTTGTATTCCTTTTTTTATTATTACAATTCTACGTGGGTTTGCAACTTCCAGCGTAAAGGGAGGACTATAATTATACGATTCCACATGAATTTGTAACTTCTAGAGTAAATCAAGCTCTATAATTATATACGCAGTTTTTTGACAGTATTTTATATATCATTATTTTTATAGAATATATGTAGGAAATTAAAATATTAACTATTTTGGTTATACTAGTTTTAGTATAACTATAACTATAATTAGTATAACTATAATAATACTAGTATTTACTTTCACATGGCGCGATTTTTTTAACATTTTTATTTTTGTAGGATACATCGAAAAAATTAAAACAAATGTTTTATGTAATTTTTAAATTAAAATAATGTTTGTTAGTACGATTCAACATAAGTTTGCAATTTTAATTATTTACAGGCGCGCGAGGCTTAGCGCCTCTTTTAATTTTTTTTTTTAAAGATAAGTTTACATAATTACATAAGTTATACAACTGTTACTTTCACACATTATTTTTTACTTAATATAATACGCGCATTAAAAAATATGTAAATTTTGATCTGTACTCATGCATGTTTACGATGTAAATTTCGATTTTTAATTTTACTAATTCTCTATTCTCACAGTTGTTACATTTATGTTGTACAATTTAGCACGATATTAATGCGTAACTGTTGTTTTTAATTCGTTTAAATTCTATATAATTCTATCTATAATATTTAATACCTTAAATTTTAAATAAGTGTAACAAAGTATATATAAGCGACCAGATAACTACTTGTAATAGATAAATACATACGTTTTACACTTTCATGATTACGCGTGCACGCATAAACAATTTGAATCAAACTTGATTTCAATGTACTACGGACATGGAACTCCCTTCCCTCTCGATAACTTGTTCGCGTTTAAAAAAGCAAAGTAGTGGAATGCAGGTATGTAGGATCGTTTCTTTCTCATTCTTATACGTTGTATCTGCTTCACTATCTCTTTTTCTCGCATTTAAATTTATTGCGCATTAGGTTTAGCGCACAATAAAAAAATATTCGAAATAAATATTAAATATTAGAAAATAGAAATTATTTTAAAATAATAAAATAACATCAAAAAGATTCTAATATATTATACAAATATAAATTCGGGTATATAAAGAATTCTTAATAAGAGTATAAGAGAGTATAAAACCTTTTATACCCGAATTTATATTTATAGTCAGTCTTTTCGATTTTATTATTTTAAAATAATTCCTATTCCTAATATTTAATATTTGTTTCTAATATTTTCTCTATTGTACGCAAGGCCTTACATTTATCTGCATGCTTTTTTCCTTTCATAAATAGCTTCATCTATCCATGAGTGAATACGATACCTAATGATAACCAGTAATAATATTGTTCATTGTGGATATATTACGTGTGCGTTTACGCGTGCATACGTGCATGTACGTGTGTGCGTACATGCGTCATAAGTACGTGTGTGTGTGTATATATACTTGTATGTATTGTATATAATGTTTAAGGAAATATATTAATTTAAACAATAAAAATATAATTCTTACGCGCGCGCGCAAAATTTTGCAGTTGCTAGAAAATTAAAATTTTTATCTTTATAAAAACTATAAAAATAAAATAATTGTGATTTTAAAGCTACATAATTTTGATCTTAATTTTTATGAGATATTAGAATACTTGGTTTAAAATGTCTATCGCATTTAATAAATAAATTCTCATAATACAGTGATTTACAAATTATAGCTTTAAAATAAACTCATTAAAAAATAAAACACATTTCATTTTTTTATTCTATATTTAATTTTATTTGTTGATTCAAAATATATTCTTTATGTGTTTCTAAGCTATATTCTTTATTAATTTGTATAATAATTTTAATGTGTATACTAACGATATAATCGTGCTATTTTTAACGATGATGCATATATGTATAAAATTATGTCATTTCACAGTGACAAACATTACTTCTATGTTGTATGTGCATTGTTGCGTGCAGGATTTACGTAACGTTTGTACGATTTACGTTATGAACGTCATTTCTCGGTTTCTCTTGGCTGTTGTAAGATTGTACGAAGGTGGGGATGGAGAGAGATTAAGCAGAATGCACACACGTGTCCTCACAATCCGATCCGCACGCATACATCATCGTCGATAAATACGACGTGCGCGACATCGCCTTTCCCTCGTCAATGACGCATCATAAAAAACTCAACTACATATAACTTCAACGTGCTAATGTAAATGCAATTTTAAATTTACTATTAACTTAACAATATTTTTTAGATGACGCATGTATAAAATTGAAAGTATTCAAACAATTGCTTTTTTCACATCTGTTTTGTTATACAAATACGCACCTCATTCAGTCAAAAAGTTTCTACAGGATGTCACAGGCACGCTGCCTATTAGTACTTCCTATCGAGAGAAAAGACAACGGTGAACATGAGACAATCTATAGATGTGAATAATATGAAGAAAACACGTGATATATATGATGAAACACATAAAGAAACATGCGCAACTAACTCTGACTTCTCCGAGATTTCAGTTTGCTGGCAGTTTTGCCCATTTTCCCGCCAATTGCATGCCAACGGTTTTTTCTAATCACGTCGCAGGAATTTCCGCAGATAAATTTAATCCAAAGTGCACTGAAGCAAACGAAATGGCCACAACTCGGACACACTGCACGACACGGCTGTAGCACCGTGCGACGCGGTCTGACCGCAACATAATGCGATACCGAACTAACGGAGCAGATTAGAAGAAGGGACCAGACAGACCGACGGACCAACCGACTGTCCGACCGATCGACCGATACGCAAGTGGCGCTCACAGCGTGGAGGAAGGTTCTAAGACACAGAAAAAGCTGAACAGAATGAGAGAGAGAAAGGAAAGGAATGTAAAGAAAAAAATGCATATTTCATAAGAATTTTAAATTTCATAAAAATGAATCCTTTTAACAATCATCGCCAAACTCAATATCAAACATCCTTTAATAATATTATATTTATGTAAAAAATATTTATCTAGATATTTTAAAATTTACGGAATTTATAGAGCAACAACAAACATTTCACATAAAATTCAAAATTATTAAAAATTTTATAAAAAATGAACATTTTCATACTGATTCTGTTTAAATTCAATACCAACCAACATTGGATAATAATTTATTAATATAAAAAATTTTATCATAATTTCTTAAAATTTACGGAAGTTAATGCAACCACAATTTTTATAAAATTCAAAAATAATAAACATAAACCAAAATTTTTTTGTTAGAATTAAATACCTGTGCACAAGGCACCAAATTTTACTTGGTCACGGCCAAGACTTAAAATAGGAATATTTCTATACTTGAGAGTTAATTCTATACATCCCCTCTTCTCCCCTAAGGAAATAAATACCTGCCTTGTGCACAGGTATTTAATTTTAACGAAAAAATTTTAGTTTTGTTGGGATAACGCACTGTCATCTGCGATTTGGCTCTTATTGCCTGTTTATATATTTTAGATTTATATTTAATATTACAGAGCCTTGTTAAACTTTTAAAACATAAACCTTTTTACCAATTCTCCTCAATCTCAATACCAACCATCCTTTAATGATAATTTATTAATATAAAAAAATTTAGTCTGATATCTTAAAATTTACGGAAGTTAGAGCAACCACAAACAATTTTTGAAAAATTTAAATTGCATTAAAATTTAAAATACTACATGAAATATAAAAACGACAGTAAATAAAAGCATTGTATTGCTTTAATTGTATGTCAATTTGGAGCACTGTAAATAAAATACTTTTAGATATTTAAATAAAAAAAAATAGGTGAGCGCACGCGCACACACACACACACACACGAACATTTTTCAAAAATATAATTTTTCGACGTTTTGGAACATTTTGAACATATTAGCACAGAAATCTGAAAAAAAAATTTTTTCATGAAAACAAAGCTTTCTCTATAAGGAGAGATACTGTATGCGAAAAGAGATGAAAGGAATGTGAGAAGAACAAATAATGATAACAATCATCGTTTAATCAATGATACTATCGCCAAACATAGGCTGGTATTCATAAATATAAGATTATCTTAAGTACGGTCGATATGCTATGCGGCCATTTAATTGGTTGAATGAGATCTTAAGACGACCCAAGATTACACTTAAGACGATCTTAAATATCAGAACGGACTATGAATATACCAACCATAATGTAGTATTTTTGCTACTAAACACACGATATAGTACAATATTTGTACGATATATTACTATCGACTATCTAAATATTTTTTGTAACAAAATCAAATAGTCTAAAAAACCGAAAAAATATTTAAAATTTTTGATATTTTTATAAATTTAATGTCGTAATATCATACAAAATTCAAGGTGATTTTCGAATAAGATCATTAATTCAGATCACATTTAATCTTTTTAGTTTAGAAAGATACAGTACACTTTCTTCTAAAAAAGTAAAAAAGATAATAAAAAGACCAAATACACAAGCACAGTTAAAAAAATTGTTATACTATATATTTACAAAATAATGTTATTTTAATTTACAAAAATAATATTTAAATAATTGAGCAATTAAAAATATAAATTTTAAAAAATAATAATTAAAAAATTATATTTAACTCATACAAAAAATTAAGAATTCATATAAAAATTTAAAAATTAATTCAAATAACAAAAATTATTTTTATTTTAATTTAAAAAACTTGGCGTTACACTAAACAAAATATATATTCAACCAAAAGTGAGATGTGATTGCCAGTCCAATTTTAAAAATCAAGGAAAAGTGAGCTTTATTGACCAACACTGGCTAAATATATAACAATCTTTATTATAAAAGAAACGATGTTTCGACCCTAAATTGGGTTCTCTTCAGGCTGGCTATAGCATTAATTCAAATACAAAAAAGTTTACAATAAATTTTAACTATGATAATACTATAATGTCTATTTTATAAAAAAATTATATTGAAATTAATAATACCTCTTATTTAAAAAACACAAAAAAACGAAACGCTCATAGAGTCAATCTATAATGGAAGATCGAATATAACACAAAATAATACGTTTAATATGGAACGAAGTGTTCCCTATGACAAACTAAACAAGACAAACCGCGATTTAAATAGTCAACAAGTAAACAATGTTTAGAGAGAATTAAAAGTCGAATAAATAAGCCAAATGATCCATTACACCTAAATAACCCGTTCTTAAACTTTAAAAAGAGAAGAAAATACATTAAAATGTATATGCTAAATGAATGAAAATCATACTAAAACCGACTAACTATACCTGAAATAAAATAATATTATAAGTTACTAAGATTTAAAATAAATTAAGGATAGTGTCGTAAATTGGATTTACATTTTCAGTATCCTTTCACATATTAATAAAGTTTTTTAGTTTTTTAATAAAGATCATTTAACCTATTTCCCTCTTTTTTACATTACGTTTATTATGTAAGATTGAAACATTTGACCAATCAAAATCATGGTTAAGAGAAACTCTATGTTTACTAATGACGGAATAATTAGTTTCATGTTTTTTTTTTATGTTTGACTTATGTTCTTTAATACGTGTCTCCAAATGTGACGCTTGGTCTGCCCAACAGGCATTGCAATTACAACACGATATCCCATATACTAAATTAGTTCTCTTCAAGGAAGAAAGTTGATCTTTTCCTTTTTTAATTAATTTATCTAATCTGTTTCCAACCGTATGTAAGACTTTGAGGCCACATTCCTTTAATATTCTTTGAACATCACTACTTAATCATTTTACAAAAGGAAAAATGATTGTCTTAGATGTATCAAACGAATTTTTTACCCCCGATGGATAACTATCCTGTGATCTAAATTTTAACAATATAAGTCTTTTCCTTATAATTGTATCAATTAATGCAATAGGATAACAATTGTTCAATAAAATCTTCCTAACTATCGAAATATTTTGTGCATGAAACTTAGTGTCAGACAGTAATATAGATCTATCAATGAGACTAAGAATACAGTATACTGATTTTGTAATTGAGCGGGTGATTGGAATAAAAGTTAATATATCTTCCCGAGAAGGTCAATTTCCGGTACCAGTTAGTTATTAATTTTCGATTTTGCCTTGTAATGGAGATATCCAAAAAATTAATACAACCATTAGATTCCATTTCACACGTAAACTGTAATCGAGGATGATAACCATTAAATTTCATCAAGATACTATCGATTTGATTTGTCGGCACAATTGCGAAAATATCATCTACATATCTGCAGTACACAGACAATGACAAGGATAAAGAGTTAAAGCAATAGGTCTCCAAATCATTTATAACAAGATCAGACAAAATCGGAGAAAGTGGAGAACCCATCGGCATTCCAAAAATCTGTTCATAATAATAATTGTTAAAGGTAAAACTCGTGGAATCTGTGACAAATTCTATTGCATGTAAAAATTGATCTAAAGTAAGTTGTATTTTGAGAAATATCTTTCCATTTGTTCTTAATTGCAGAAACAACCAAGGATTTAGGAACGTTCGTGTATAAAGATTTTACATCCAAGGAAATCATACATTCGTTGTCTTTAATATCAACCTCTCTAATACCTCTCACAAACGACCAACTGTCCCTCACATGTGATACCGGCTTACTGACTGAACGAGAAAGAATGTCACTTAGAAATACAGCTATCTTGTACGTAGAACTGCCGATTGAGGATACTATAAGTCTCAAAGGAAAGTCTCTCTTATGCACCTTCGATAATCCATAAATTCTAAGCAAATTTCCATTATTACAGACCGTTATTAAACCGTAAATCACTAATGTGTGACGGAAAAACCTTATAACTGCGACATTTTAGTAAAAATTTTAGCTGTTGTTCAAATTCTACGATTTTCCTGTTAGTGCTCATCCACATTTTTAAACACGCAGTATTAATCCTTCCATGTTCTCTCGAGATGCCGTCGAAAAAACCTTTGTGTTTATATATCACATTTAATATTACGTTTTATAGTAAATGGGTGTCTAGATTGTTTTACAAATTAATGGAGAAGAATCAGAAAACTGTACAGAATGTTGAAATAAAAGATTTGAATATAAACATAAGATTCTTAAAAAATAAACTACAAAAACGTCAATGTGACGTTAAAATGATAAATTTTACGTCATAAAATGATCGACATCAAGATTTACTTTGCAATGACTGATTTATGACATGCAGTTTTATGATATTTGTGATGTGATAGAAATATATTATTACAAATTACATGATTTGTTATAATTTTCTGCAAGTTTTATAGAATATTAAGGTATATTTCTAAAGAATAACAAAAGGTCATATAACAGTCAAAATGAGAGAAGTAAAATGTAAGCTATATGTATATAATGCGCGTGCGCAGCAAAGACGAACAGATCACAAACTTATAATGCGTTTGCGTGATTTTTCCCGCTATTTTGCATCATCTGCCATGTGGTCGCATCTCATGGCTGCGTTCCGATCGCAGCCCATGTACTCTTTTGTCTGTCGTATTTATTTGTGAATTTTATTCGATGTGCTCAGAATTTATGCAAAAAAAGTGATTATATAATTACGATTTCTGATATCATCGTACATGTGCGCATATTGTAAAATTCTAATATGACTGATAAACCTGTAAGTATAATAAACTTTGTGTGAAAATATTGTACGTCTAGATGGCATGTGAGCTTTTTCCAAAAAAAAAATACTATTTTATTTGCTTTTAATATTTTTGCGCTTTGCATTCAAATACTCATATTTTATATTAATATAACATATAAAATTCATTTAATGCAATCATTTATTAGAATTAATGCATTTTGATATTCTAACCTTGCTTTTGACATCAGAAATAAGAAGTCATATTATAATTTATTTTCTCTCATGATTTTTTTATATTTTATTTTACAGCATATTTACATATTTTATTTTAGCTATTTACTGATTATTTGATTTAAATAAAAAGAAAAATATATGTTATAAATATGCTAAAGTGATTACAATATGGGTATGTTCCATAGCGACACAAGTTGACATGAGCTAACATACATAAGTATTATTCTAATATCTTTTATTATTTTTATATTGAATATTGAAAAAAGACAGAATAATGCTTATGTCAGCTTGTGTCAATTTGTGCCGCTGTAATAAGAAAATACCCAATAAGTGTCATCTTATGCAAATATATACATTTTTATTTCATATTTTATATCTATATTTATTATTTCATTTTATATCTATATTAACATATATATTAAGAATTTAATTTTTGGCATGGATTTCTCACTTCTAATGTTATCAAACAAAGATAGAAACGGTTTGCAGACAGAACTTAAGCCTTAATCAATATCTTTATCCAATATCTTATATCAATAATTTTTATAGAGTAAACGTCGTAGAGCAAGATATGCTAGACAGGAAGTAATGCAGAAGATTAGAGTGGTTGAATTGGGCTTTAAAGCGAAGAGAATTCCGGGGCATATTAATTTACAATTGCTTAATGATAGTGACAGTAGTAGTACATCTAGTGTTAATATTAATCGATGTGAGAATAGAAATGACAATATTTTTTGTATTAACACAGATAACTCTAATGGAGTTGATAGTAATATAAGTAGTAATAATTCTGATAGGCTTGAATTTGAAATAGACAACAATAATATTCACAGTAGCGATGATAATGAACATGAAGTATTAAGTAGTGATGGTAAAATTTTCGAAAAAAATCTTGAAAATCAAAATGATTTTCTTCAGAATGACGATCAAAAGCAATTGTATCTATTAACAAATTTACAAGAATGGGCAGTGAAAGGTGTAAGCTTCGTTAAAGTAGATAGTCTTCTGAAAATAATCGATCAAGTAAGCATATATATAGATTATTTAAAATTTTATTAATTAATAATACTTTATATTAATAATTTCTGCTTGTATTAATAATTAGGTGATAACACTACTGCTGCTGCCATAAATCAAATTAAGACAGAGTTGCTTCAAGAAATAAGTAGCAAACTCGACTTTGTAATAATGAACAGAACAAAAATTCTTACTTATTTATTACCAGAAGAAAGTCTTCTTTTAAAAGACCAGATAACTTTCCAGCGCTTCCTCTAAACACAATTGACGAATATGACAAATTTGAAGTTTTTTAATAATGGTACAAGTTTCTCAACAGCGGTATGTTTAAAGTAAATAAGATTTATTTATAATTTATATGATTTTGTTCTTTGTACATACTCAAACATACTTGTCAAATAAATATGATTTAGGTACAATACTTTGCGGGTCGCACGATCAGTCAAGGTAATGACTGGCAAAGTGCTGTATATTTGGTATCAAAATTACTAATAAGTAATAAATTGGCAAGAGCAATAAGCTGGGGAGGTACTAAGGACACTAAGATCGCATTAGCAAATAGTAAAATTATAGAGGCTGTTTACTGTAAGTATACTTTAATAAAAATTATAGTTTTTTATTAAAATAATAGATAGGAAATAAATAATAAATAAAAATTGCAGGCGCTGTTCTGAAAAACCAACCAAAAAGTGACCTAAAAACAGTAAAGTCAAAAATACAAAGATGGCTTTACACAGGAAATCAAAAAAAAATTTAATTACTTTAAAACATTTTTTTAGTCATGGAAAAACTACAAAAAGTATTGCCTATAGACCGATTGTCTACTAATGCTTTTGCACACGAATGAAAAATGAAGAGACGGACGTACGTTTGCACACATAACAGTTTTGCGCACAAATCGTATTGCACACAAAAATTATTGCCTACCGATTGATTGTCTACAAGCTCTATTGCGCACAAATAACAAAATAAGAGATGGAAGACCCCGATAAAATTCCGAAGAGTACTCACCCCCGATTTTTTGAAACTCAGTATTCTTACGTATTTTGATATATGTACATAATTTTAATTCTTGAATTTCCATTATGTGCATAATTTTGATTCGTTGAATTTCTATTGTGTACATAATATTTTTATTCTTAAATTTCTATTATGTTCATCATTTAATTCGCCAAATTTCTATTATGTACCTACTTAAACTTAATTAATTAATTTATTTTTATTATGTACATAATTTTAATTCATCAAATTTCTATTACATGCATAATTCTAATTCCCAAATTTCTATTATGTACATAATTTTTATTTCCTTATTTTTATTATGTACACAATTTTTATTCGTGAATTTCTATGTTCATAATTTTAATTTGTAGAATTTTCATTATATCTACATAATTTTAATTAGACGTATATTGTATACAAAATTTTATTGTTGAGTTTTTATTGTGTACATAATTTTAATTTTTACATTTACATTATGTTTAAATTTTGATTCGTCGAATTTCTATTATCTACATAATTTGTATTCTTGAATTATGTTTATAATTTTAATTCGCCGAATTTCTATTATGTACATAATTTTATTGGCCGAATTTTTATTAGGTACAATTTCAGTTATTTATCTAATAAAAATACGACAAATTAAAGTTATGTGCATAATAGAAATCCAAGAATTAAAATTATGTACATAATGAAAAATAAAGAAAACAATTATGTGCATAATAAAAATTAGGTTTGTAATAAAAATTCAGCGAAATTATGTATGTATAATAGAAATTCGAGAATTAGAGTAATGTTAACACCTTTAAAAAAAGGTAAAAAAAGGCGACCAGTTAAGGGCACGCCATTAACAAAAATTATCCATTGCAAACCTATGTGGAATCCTATGAAAAATTAACCATTGCAAATCCATGTAGAATCCTATGAAAAATTAATCATTGCAAACCCATGTAGAATTGTATTAAAAATTATCCATTGCAAACTTATGTAGAATCCTACATTGCAAACCCATGTACAATAGAATTGTATGAAAAATTATCGATTATAAACCCATGTACAATCGTAACAAAAGTAATGAAATAAAAAAAAATTGCGACAAGTAAAAGTAGAAACTTGTACCAATGGAAAATTAAAGTTGCAGACATATATAGAGTCGTATAATGAATCAGTAAAAATTTAAATTTGAAAATGTAGAATCGTACCATAAAAAAACTTATCTTTTAAAAAAAAAGATAAACAAGATGCCAAGTCCATGCGCCATGTAAAAAAGTGTTAAACAAAAAAGTATTTTTAAATAAAAAAAATATATATCAATTGAAAAAAATGTATGTTCTAAAATTAATATCTCTACAAAAAGTAATGTCCAAAAATTGCGCGAATAAATAAACATTTTTATAAAAAATTAAAATTTAAAAACTTATGCAAATTTAAAATTAATATAAAATAAAAAAAATAAAAAAATTTTAGTTAAAAAAACTGGGCGCGCTGCTAAGTTTCAAAATTACAATGCACCTTAAAGTAACATTAATTAATTTAAACACAAAACATATTTTAACTGCAATGAGTTTAAAAGTAACAATTTAATTTTAATATTATTAGAATATTATTTAGCAGCGCGCCCAGTTTTTTTAACTAAAATTTTTTTATTTCTTTTTATTTTATATTAATTTTAAATTTGCATAAGTTTTTAAATTTTAATTTTTTATAAAAATGTTTATTTATTCGCGCAATTTTTGGACATTACTTTTTGTAGAGATATTAATTTTAAAACATACATTTTTTTCAATTGATATATTTTTTTATTTAAAAATACTTTTTTGTTTAACACTTTTTTACATGGCGCATGGACTTGGCATCTTGTTTATCTTTTTTTTTAAAAGATAAGTTTTTTTATGGTACGATTCTACATTTTCAAATTTAAATTTTTACTGATTCATTATACGACTCTATATATGTCTGCAACTTTAATTTTCCACTGGTACAAGTTTCTACTTTTACTTGTCGCATTTTTTTTTTATTTCATTACTTTTGTTACGATTGTACATGGGTTTATAATCGATAATTTTTCATACAATTCTATTGTACATGGATTTGCAATGTAGGATTCTACATAAGTTTGCAATGGATAATTTTTAATACAATTCTACATGGGTTTGCAATGATTAATTTTTCATAGGATTCTACATGGATTTGCAATGGTTAATTTTTCATAGGATTCCACATAGGTTTGCAATGGATAATTTTTGTTAATGGCGTGCCCTTAACTGGTCGCCTTTTTTTACCTTTTTTTAAAGGTGAGTTTTTAGAGATTATAACGATAACGTAAAATATTTATATAATGTAAAATAATATTATAATATAATATTATAATATTATATTTTATAATGTAAAATATTTTTATCAAGTTCTAATCAAGTTAGAAAACTCATTCTCAAAATTATGAAAATTACATAACTTTATTAAATTTTTTGGTATAGTATAGATATATTATTGTTAACATAATGAATATAGTACAGGTAATCTATTTATCAGTTTATCGTGTTTTATATAAATATTATAAATATAATATTATATATATAATCTTTTTAAAATAAATTATATATTTAAATTTTATATTAATGTAGATGTCAATTAGTATGTGTCATTCAAATTTATTGTGCGTATCATTAAAAAATTATTATATACACAAATATATGAGTTATCATTGTCTTATTCGGGAAATATATATCCTAAGTGTAGACAACTAGTGACATAATTTAAAAGAATTTATATTTATATCGCATATAGTTTGCATGCAAAGCTTTTGTTTATGATATTTAAAATAATGAGATAGCAATAACATTAATAATTTTCTTCACAGATAGTGGTATTTCTATATCCATATTGATACGACAAGGTTCCATTTCATACTTTCTATGTGTTTGTACTTTGCAATTTTCTATAATATTTATATATCAGACTTATGTAATAATAATACATTGAAATTTATCGGGCAAACTTTTACGTGACATTTTATATTACACATATATATTATTTAAGTCTTTTATGCTTTGAATATCCCAGAATACACAAATATCTAAAAGAATCTTAAAGAACGTCTCAAAGACATCTTTTAGAAAACTTACAATGCATTTTGTCTCTGGTTATATTAAATTTTATGCCATTTATAAGGCATAAAGTTGTGATGTAAAATTTATAATGTTAACACTTTTATTGGCTGAAAAATTTACACTGGGAAAATATAAAATGCTGTAAGACATAGACATATATTGTTTTAGAATGCTTTGCTTGATAAAATAATTTCTTGTGTCGTAGCTAAAAATTCATGATGTATATCACTGTTCCCTGCGTTGCAAAATATCTGACAGTATGTTGCTAGTCACTTTTGATTGTAATTCCAAATTATCAATTTCTTTCTATTGAGTAACACCTTCTGGACAACATGAAGCATTATACCACCAAGGCACATTAACAATCCTATAGAGTTAAGGCCAGTCATTTGATCACCTTTCAATGCAAAGGCCAATGCTAATGTACATATTTCCTGTAAGGAACCAGAGAGAAGAAATAGAAATTGAAACATTGATTATTATATAAATTTAACGTATAAGACGGGCAACAAGAGCCAAATCGCGGATGACAATGCGTTATCCTAACGAAACTAAATAATTTTCCGTTAGAATTAAATACCGGTGCACAAGGCACCAAATTTTACTTGGACACGGCCAAGATTTTAAAATATGAAATAATCTCATATTTGAGATTTAATTTCAATACCCCCTTTAACCCCCCTACGGAAAATAAATAAATGAATGCAAGAGAAAAATATAGATCCGAAAATCGCTGAATCGGGAATCGAACCCGAGACCTTTCGCTTGCCGGGCGACTGCTCTTCCAGCTGAGCTATTCAGATCCTTTCGATTCTATACTTTTCTCTGTTATATATATTAATGTTGGTAAACAAACGCATTTTTAAGCCAGCGTGTATCAATATAAGAGTTTTAACAAGGCTCTGTAATATAAATATAAATTTAACGTATAAGACGGGCAACAAGAGCCAAATCGCGGATGACAATGCGTTATCCTAACGAAACTAAATAATTTTCCGTTAGAATTAAATACCGGTGCACAAAGCACCAAATTTGCATTCATTTATTTATTTTCCGTAGGGGGGTTAAAGGGGGTATTGAAATTAAATCTCAAATATGAGATTATTTCATATTTTAAAATCTTGGCCGTGTCCAAGTAAAATTTGGTGCCTTGTGCACCGGTATTTAATTCTAACGGAAAATTATTTAGTTTCGTTAGGATAACGCATTGTCATCCGCGATTTGGCTCTTGTTGCCCGTCTTATACGTTAAATTTATATTTATATTACAGAGCCTTGTTAAAACTCTTATATTGATTATTATATTTAATATTACTGAATATTATATTTAAATATACAAAATATGTTTGTGAATCATAGTCTTTTTATAATTTATTAAAATTGTTAGTGTTTCACTGATTGTGAAAACAAAACGTGAGACATGTCATGCGATATGAGAAGAAATAATGAAATGTGAATGAATGTTATCATTTACCTTAAATACTCCCGAGATTGACAATGTCAGACTAGAAGTGTAAGTAACAACTAAAAATTCCATCACTTCCATACTAAATGCTAAAATGGCACCTGCTATTACAGCACTTGCAGTTAATAAAATACTACCAATATCACTCCAATCGGTAACTCTAATAATTCTACTTCCTAAAATTTAATTTAATCTTTTCAATATTGTAAATAATAAAACATGCAACATATAACTAAATCATTAAGTGTCTAACAAAAATTTTTTATTGCACTTATATGAGAAAGATGTCAAACTAATTATAAAATTTTAACAAATAAAATCATCAAAAGATTTTAATGCACGGTAATTGAGTTTTATTGATTAAAATTGTAATAAGATAAATAATATCTGGAACGTTTCTGCATTCACTTTTACAACGAAAACAAATAACATTCTGTTTTAATACATGGTAAGATAAGATAATACTTATACCACACGGTTACAGATATTGCAGGTAATAACATCCAAGGTTGCATATAATACATCATATCTATCGGATCGTGGAGACCGAGTTTGGATCTTTGCATAATGAGTTGTGTCATGGTCCATCGAATACCACTTGCAAACAAAGCTAAGAGACACAATAAAAATCCGAGAATACCAAATTGAGTAGATTTATAGGTGAACATTGCTAATCCTCCTGCTATCATCACCACTATCCCTATTAGAGACCATGACTACAATAAACGATAATTATTATTTGCCTGTTAGAAGGAAATATACAAAAATTCTGATAAATATATAATTTAATTAAAATTACATAATTAAAAAAATTCCAAGTAAAAACAAACCTTTTTCTCCAGTTTAAAGAGAAGAGAAAATCCAAGAATAAATATAATGGTGGTTGATTTGCTCATGGTGACCTTATGAAGAAATTCAACTGTATAATAAATAATAATGAACACTTTGTTTTATTATATAATTGCCATTATAATATTATTTATACTTACAAAGATATTGAAATTAATGAAAGTGCCCAATTGGATAAACCAATATCCACACCGCTGTCCATGCCAGGTATCATTAACGAATAAATTATATTTTGCCATGGTAAATTTATCCGTCTGCCAGTGCAACATCTTCTGATGCAGCGTATTAATGCGGATAGTATAAACTTTATAGTCAAATGGCAAACTACTACTCCAAGTGAAAAATTAAATCCCTAAAAATATTATAACAATTATTAATAAACTTATATGTTTTCTTAAATATGTAGAAAGAATTTATTTCTATAAAGCAATATTTTTTATAATAATTAAATAATTTTAAGTTGTATATAACTAAATAATAATAAATAAAAGCAAGTTATTAATTTGTTGTACATGTAATTACTCACATACGTATTATACAGCCATGGATTATAAAATGTAAGGCCTATTGATAAAATAAAGTAAGCAGAGATCAATAAACACACTTGGTATGCTTTCCTCCAAAATGTGGCTTCTGGCTTTATTACATTTTGGAAATCTGAAACATTTTGCGGCAAATATTCTGATGTTTCTACATCATCTCTAGCAATTTGATATTTTATGTGCGAACGTGTCATATGAAAAAAAATTATGAAAAAAATTATGTATTTATAAAAAACATACCGTTTTATGAAGCTTTATGCATAAAGATATCATTAATAAATCATATTGCAGGAATTGATAAGTATATAAATTGTATAATATAACAAAATTAATTACATCGTCCATACGTCATTCACATCACGTTATTCTGAAAAACAAAAATGAAGAAATTAAGATATTATAATCAAGAGATTATAATCGGCAATAAAGATGAAATATCGGAAATTTTTAATCGCTCACCTTGACTTTAGCGTAAGATAATGCAGTTCGACGAGACATATAACCTGGAAACAAGTGCGATAGTGACAATTGTCACTAAAATCGCCGTCTGTTGTAAAACGTGAGAACTGGACATTTCCAATACTATGCATCTATTGCATGTGTTGTGTACGTGTGATATATGTGTGCGCATGTGTTGTATACGTGTGAATACGTGTAGCACGATACTACTATGTATGCGTGGTCGATGATGATAATAATAATGATGACGGGGACGTTTCTTAAAAGAAATTTTTCAGATTTCAACTTTGCATTTATATATCTCTGCTTACAAATTACGTAGAGCAGAAATAAAGACACTTTTATTATATAATTCGAACTCAATCTATCGATTAAGTCTAGTATAAACTCGATTGCTTCAGCCGTTATTGAGGATTAGAAATTTATAATAGACTCAAATGTCCGACTCGCGTTAAGATACACGGTGTCTCGGCTACGCCCTTAACTGGTCGCGAGACACTACCGTGTCTCTTGATATATAATTCGAATTCAATCTATCGATTAAGTCTAGTATAAACTCGATTGCTTCAGCCGTTATTGAGGATTAGAAATTTATAATAGACTCAAATTTCCGACTCGCGTTAAGATACACGGTGTCTCGGCTACGCCCTTAACTGGTCGCGAGACACTACCGTGTCTCTTGATGATTGAAATTCGGCGAATTAAAATTATGTATACCTGCGAAGTAAAATTACTTTGGCGCGCAAAGCGCGCGCTTGTGTTATCTAGTCTATTCATATTTAAAAAAGTCATTTAGATAGAGAAGTGTGTGTTTGGAGTCGATATGTATTGCCTGTATTGTTGCCTCTTTTCCGGGTATGTCATTGATGGCCGATGACGTGTGTGTGTGTGTGTGAGAGAGAGAGGGGGAGAGAGAGAGAGAGAGAGAGAGAGAGATGTGAATGTAATTATACTGAATTCGCATAATTCGGGGTGTGACAGTTTGGTGACATTTTGTACATTGTGAACGAGGTTAATAAATAATAATGATAGAAGCATTGGCAATATTGATATCACGTTGTCCTCTTTTCAACATACGTGTATATATATTTGTGTATCTGTGTATTATCGGTATGTACTCTATCAATTTTATAGTAAGATTAATTAGATGAATTAATTAGAATTTATATTAATGATTATTATATGTGGAGGAGAAGGGTTTCCTCACCGATTTGGCTAAAATTTTACATTTTTATTTATTTTGGTGGGTAAAACATTAATCTTTAAGTTAAAATTGTCGCTTTCAATTAGGAATAATGCTCTATACTATTATTTATTTAGTTATTAAGTGTTAAAGTTGACACTTGCGTGGTTAGGGTATCTGTCATATCTTTGCTTTAACAAAACACATAAATTATTATTTTCTTTGGTAAATTTGCAGTTTTGTTGTATTAAATATGCCGCAAAATATTGAGTTAAAAAGATAAATAAAAATTTATGCTTTTTTAAAGCAGAGAATAATGACAGATATCTCAACTATGCGCAACTGTCAACGTGAAATACTTAATAATTTTCTTTTAAATTAATGAGAGCGATAATTTTAACTTATAGATTAATGTGTTATGTACTAAAATATATGAAATTATAAAATTTTAAGGGTCGACAAGTCGGTCGGCCAAACTCCGAATTGATGTTGAAGACCTCGCGCGGTGACAACGCGAAACTCCGATTTCAGTGTTGCCAACGCCGAGAAACCAATTCTCGGGTTTTATGTAGTGGTGCATGTCTGTACATGTACATACACCATTGCATTGCTCACGCGGACGCACCGTAGAGAGACAAGGACCGATAATCACGTGTTCTCCTTGTTCCTCTACCGTGCCGATATACGCGAGATGCCGCCTGAAAATGCTTTCTGGCCTTCCGTAGCAGAAGGCAGTAGCGTAGCAAGGCTAATAAGTACCTACTTTTTGTAAATTTTATATATGCTTATGCACATATGTGCGTATATATATATATATTATATAAAAGATATGTTGATTATTCTTGATTTCTTTTTGATTATTGATGCTATTGTATAATTTGCTCCAAATACTTAAACGTGAAAAAACGTTGAGTAATGTATAATCAATGCAAGAATGTTCAGTATATCATCCAGTATATAAATTAGAGTTCAAATATATCAATATCAATTTTTTTATAATATATATATATATATATATATATATATATATATATATATATTATAAAAAAATTTATTAAATATATATATATATTATAAAAAAAAAATATTTTCAATATATTAAAAAATTTTTAAATCGCCGAAATATATTTTTTTATCATTTTTCTATATTCTAATATATATATATATATATATATATATATATATATATATTAGAATATAGAAAAATGATAAAAAAATATATTTCGGCGATTTAAAAATTTTTAATATATTGAAAATATTTTTACTACATACACTATATATAAGTGTAAAATAATTCAGAAAATAAATTTAAAAATAAATTTAATAAAAATCTACATATCCATATTTTGAAAATAGGGGTTGGGGGGGAAGAAGGGGACTAAGAGGTCGAGGTGGAAAACAAGGAAGAAAAATTTTTCAGTTCCATTTTCATTAATATTATTACATAAAATAATATTAATTAAAACAAAATTAAAAAATTTTTCTTCCTTACCTTGACTCGCATCGCCTTCTGGCTGACGTCATTATATTCATTTCGAATTTTCATGTGTATAATAAAAATATACATTTGTATACAAGAAACTGAAAACCTTATTTTCTTTACCAAGTCCGTATAATTGCATGTTAATAAAAATTAATATGTATATGCATTACAATATATTCAATACAATATTCTCTTAATTTGAACGAAAATTATAAATAACTTATGCGTAACATATATTTTTGGACTCCTAAATAAAAAATATATTATATTATTTGCAAAAAATAAGATAAAACATTTTTTATTCGAATAGTCTCAACTGCTCTTTTAGCTGAATGTTTAGAAACAATGAAAAAAATCGAGGATCTACGAAAAATTTAAGTACATTTCTAGGATTTTTTTATATGATATAAAAAAAATATATGGTATATAAATTGATTTTTTTATTTTTTTATTAATTTTTAATTACACACACACACACAAATAGATTCTTATTTTTTAAAATAGTTTTTATTTTTGTTTTTTATTTACATATGCATACATATACAAAAAAATAAAAATAATATGATAGCTTTTTGCTGACATTATCTCTCAATATTTGCATCCCTGTGCTCACGTATTAGTGTTTGTATCTACATGGACGCTACATATGCGATGTAAGAGAGACAAAGATGGAATGATGCTCTCTCCTTGTCAAGCAGTCAGTATGTTACCACAGAAATTTCCCCTGCTTCTTATGAATCTAATGAGAATCTTATCGTCCAGATATTTCATAAAATAAGTGATAACTTCGTAAATTTTTTTTAAATATATTTTTTATATAATAAAGCAGTCCTCTAAAAGGCCGGATATTACATTTTCGCTCTTAAAAATTTATAATAAATAAAATACAGACTCGCGGCTAACCCAACCTTACCCGTTCCTAGCTGCACATTCCCCCAAGTTTATTAAAAATTTTTATTTTTATCTTTTTTTCATAAAATAGCTCTTTAGAGGAGTACAAATGAGCTTACTGATTAAGAATATCCTAAATTTAATAAGATTTATTCAATATTTTGGCTAATATCTGGAAAATTAAAATCTGTAATTCCCGGCCGCCCGATATGGGTCTCCACCATGTCGCCTGTCCACAGATTAATAGACAGATCGCCAAAGGTCTGGATGAAGGAGAGACCAGCATTTCTCACTGATTTCAGCGCCATATCGTAGTAGTGGTCAATGCAGTAACTATTAATACGTTCCCAAGATAAGAGCGTCTCATGCTCATGAACTCGTCCGGCGGCATGTACGAGATTTTATCTTTTCGTAGCGTTCGCGTATTTCGGAAAGGACAGAATTTTATGATGTTATAAATAAATAAATAAATAAAAAATTAACTTGACC